AAAAAATCACAGAATATGACAGCAGGCTTTACCCCACAATATAATATAAAAGTAAAACAGGACAAGGGCCACAAGTGGAGATGGCAAGTGAAGGGGCTGGAAACAGGAGGCAGCCCTGCGAGCAGGTGTTGTTGGACCTGTGTCCCGGGGACCAGTCAGGGAATGGCTGGAGGGGATTCTGGGATTGTTCAGTCACCAAATCAGCAAGATGGGCTCAGTATCACCCTCTAGTTTGTACTCCATCCAGTGATCCAATATTAGAGAAACATCAATGGAAAGGTATTTTATCTGCCATATCTAGTCTAAAAGCATATTTTTTTAAAACTACTGTATGTAGAGTACATGCATCCATTTCTGAAAACAAGAACAGTTACAGTACAAACAAGAGGAGTCCATTCTGCTCATCTTGCCTGTTTGGTTGTCAGTAGCTGATGGATCCAATGATCTCATCTGGACATTCCTCAAAAGAAACTAGGACAACATGGCTTTGTAGCTTGTCCCAGACCTCCAAGCTCTTTCTTTAAAAATGCGACTTCATTTCTCAGTTTGAAAGGCACTTGCACATCAATTATACTGTTGAATCGGAAGACGTTCTCTGTGTTGACAGAGAATTTTGAATATTTGGGTCAGATCCCCTTGTAGTCTTCTCTGTTCAAGATTAAAAAGGATCAGATCCTTCAGCTTGCCCTGTAAAGAACCAAGGGTTCCCCAGCTTCATCTTTGGTTTGTCAGTGACTTCTGGTTTCCATTCTGCCTATTCCGTAATTACTTATTCAGACAAATGCGCTTAATTGGATTGATTGAGACCAAAAACCTGGAGATATACCCTTGTGATTAAAACCAGAACTCGGCATTATGGTCAGCCCTGCATTTGCCAAATCACATGTTTCCGTCCTTTCCAGTGTCGGGGAAGAAGCCGGAGCCCGGCGTGCAGGACATCCTGAGACGGATGAGCACCACGCCCCCGCCAGGAGCTCGCCTGATCCTGCCTGCCGCTGGGAAGATTCCCCCTGCGCTGGCCAGCCTGCTGTTCGGGTCTCGGTTCCCCAGGAGGGGCGGGTGGGCTCAGGCGAGACCCCAGCCCCCCGCTGCGAAACGAGAGAAGAACCTTTCCGCCTACAACTGGAATTCCTTCGGGCTCCGTTACGGAAAACGCCGGTCAAACACCCCGCCGCCGCAGCTCGGCTGAGCCCTCCGTACGCACAGCCGCCTGCTGCTGCCCGTGAGCGTCTCCAAACAGGGACACAATCCGAGCCGTCCCTCCCGCCGCCGAGAGCGCAGAGCAAGGCCGGGTTCTGCTCTGAGAGTCCCTTTTTTAGGCTCCCTGCTTCTGCTTTCCATAGAGACGTTGCCCTTTAACCCCCTGAGCCACAACCAGCTGTCTCTTCTGCTATAAAACAACAGGCGCCTCTTCATGACTAAAGAGGAGTTAATTCATGGTTACTGTCTGGTCAGATCGTTTTTAAGTAGTTTCCTTCAGAATGTTGCAGACTTTCATAAATGACATAAAGTAGCTAAAGGGTAGTTTAAAAGTCTGTGACCTTTTTATATTTGTATTTCTTTATCCTGTGGATATAAAAGGCTAAAAGTCATAATAACTACAAATTTTATGGACTTTACACATAGTAAAATTAGACCACAGTTGCAGTTATATGAACAGTTGCTACAACTGTGATTAAGTCCTTGTTTTTCAACAACATTGAAGATGTGTTTTAAAGCTTTTTATTTAAAAGTGTATTTTGTGTGTGTGTGTAAAACGAATTTATTTGTTTTAATTACTTTTTGGAAAACAAAACTATTAAAACAAGCTTTGCTTCAATATATTGTAGGAGTGTCTGACTTTTATAAATAATGAAAGGCAAGTATTTAATTTTTATAATGACTATTGGAGAGACATCATGGAAAATCTTAATGTAAATGTAATGTAAATTCATATGCATTATGAACGATATTCTAAACCTTTGAAATACATACTGTATTAAATACATATTCCTCCAGTTTTTTGTATGCAAAATGAATTAACTGTTAACCATTTTTTTAAACAATTCAATAATATGTATTTTCTCAAAATGTATTTGGTGACCCTAATCATAACTGCTTTGTTTTCTGTGCCCAGCCATGCAAGACTATGATCGACTTTGAATTTGTTACAGTTATTCACAAAAACGGATAATTATTTTATTATTTTGTAGTGATTATCATTAATAGCAATTGGTTGTGCTGAATGTGCAGGGATTTGGGTTTTTCTATTTTTGTTCGCACCAGACTTGCGCTGCGGTAAGCCACATTTTCCACTGAAGGAGCTTGTTTGCTTTTGCTGTGCTTCAGCTTTCCTTCTGTAGAAGCCTGGTACTGATGTAATCATCTCTGAGACCTGCAGACAGAAGGGAACTGCAGCAGAGAGGCAGCCGCCCTCCACA